AGATTAATAGTGAGAGCTTTACAGGTACGAGGAAGCCAGGACATGCAAGATGCCGAGAGGAAATGGCTACATTTGTCATATTTAACAAGGTATTCCCATTATTCCGATTATGTACTGGAGGATTATCAATGAGGATGACTTATTTTTAAACAGAAAAGCATCCATACCCACTGAGGCCAGGTTTCTGAAAGTTTCCATCATCACGTGTCTGTAGAGTTTCCTCTGAGAACGATCCAGCAAGGCCCACTCTTCCTGGGAAAAGTCCACAGCCACATCTTCAACAGCCACGGCGTCCTAAAACAGCCCACATATTCTTAGTTCAACAAGGTACCCAAAACTCCAGTAAGTGAAAGGCGGGGGAGGATGGCAGTCCTGGAAACAGACTTCATGGACACCAGACACAGGGTTCTGTGTTCTGCTAAGGATGACCATCAGGGGAGAGCTATCGGCCTCATTCCTTCACTGTCTAGACTCACTTCCTCTCTCATTACACGCCATCCCACAGACTGGACATCTCTTCTAGCACAATGACCTTCTCTCTCCACAGATTGTCTGTGACCAGCTCCATAGTATCCCTCTCTATCTTTAGGGTTCCGATTAGTCAGAACACATAAGAACACAGGCAAAAGTGCTCTAAAACAAAAGCCCGATTTTCACATTCATTCCTTCTCCTCCAATGGAGGGGTGTGTGTGTGTGAAATTCACTTCCTTGCACAAGACCAAACAGACTATTTATCAAAGCATGAAGCACACGATGATAGCAAAGTAACAGTTAGAAATCAGTGAAAGAATTTGCAGTTTCTCCTCTTGCCCCTCATTAGGCTGAGGAGGCCCAGTGGCTTGAACTAAGAAAATGTCAACCCAAAGCCTTGAACTCATGGTATTCTCTTTAGAGAGCCAACTGATAAAGAGACGACAGTTGACCTGCTGAAAAAAGCTGCTTATCTTGAGGAACTGTGGAATTTTCTATAGAGTTTCTGTGGGAGACATCTACTTGTCAGTAACTCTACCATTCTGCATTCTGTACCTTCAGAGACCGGTCACGGAATTGATAAGGTACACAGAGCACAGGTCAAGGATACTTTAACAGGAGAATACAGATGTCATCACCGTTTGCACAGTCTGAGTCACTCAGAGCTGCCGTAATGCAATTGTGACAGACCATTCCCCTCCAAGACACCTTGAGACACAAAAAACACACGCTAATGTCACGTGCTGACAAAGAACACACTACGTGAAGCATGCCCTTATGTGTGCCGATTGTGAAAATGCAGTTCAATTCCAATTGTCCCTAAGTTCAGACTCACCTGTTAAACTGTGCAAGAATCCAAGGAAACAGACTCACACAACAGCCCTGGAGCTGTTCCCCTCCAAATGGTCTGACATGTACATGCAGCTCGACTACCTGCACCTGATGACCACTGGGATCCTCTGGTCTGTGAGCCTGGCCTCTGGGACTTTTCACCCCTTTGCCCCTCATTTTGTCAGGACAGAAGAGTCCCTGGAAATCGTCATCAAACTAGGTGAAGTGGAAGGGCAGCAAAAAAGTGAGAGCGCTTGACAAACTGGGCTGACACAGCGGCTG